CACAAGTAGCGATGCATCGAATGCGATTTGACTAGTGATGGCGCATTCTGTTACAAATAAGACCACGAATGAACTACCTACTTTCAAACTATAACGGTCCTAATTACAGATGGAAAGTCTAGTGTCTGTAAATGTTAACATGACCAAATATGCATGGTCAGCACCTAGTTTTTGTACTGACCTACAACAAACTTCTTACTTAAAAAACGCAACTATGTAGTTTATATCCACTAATAAATAATTTATATCCGTGTGGTGACGGATTAAGAATACAGAGTGTCACCACCCCTATTCATCCCGTGGGTGTCGTAAAAGGCGACTAAGGGAAGCTACGCAGCACAACAGCACTGCAAAGAGAAGGAAAACTTGACACAAACCCTATACCAACCCGTCTGGCCAGCGTGGTGTAGTAGGCCAAAACCTCCTTTCTAAGGAGAGGCCTATGTCCAGCAGTAGACTAGTAAAGGCTGATGATGATGAAATAATTTAAAAATATATTTGTTATGTTCATTCATAAGTAATATGTATATTTCGTTATATATTTAAAAATTGCCTTTAGTGCCGATTTATTTAAATCATCACATTTTATACTATCAATAGGCATGCATTAGATGTTCATTAGGGGATATAAATACTCTATATCTTATTATGATAAATATATATAATATGGAAAAGAAATTCTGATTTGACTGCACGGATGGCGTAGTGGTTTAAGCGGTCGCCACGCCGCTTCCTACTACGCCGAGTGTTGTGGGTTCAAACCCCACATGGGACGACACTTTGTGTGATCCACAAATTGTTGTTCTGAGTCTGGGTGTTCTTTGTGTCCGTTTTATGTATGTTTGTAAAGTCCCCCGCGACACAGGATTTATTCCTAATGCGGGTGTTGTCTTTTTTAAAAGGTAAAAGGAAAAGGATTATATATATCTTATTACTGTTGCTTATTAAAAATATCAAAAGCTCATTCAGTCAGTTGTCCTACCTACTATGACTAGCGATATCGACGACGACTTCTAAACCAGGTAATCGAGGCGGACCAAATGTTTGTATGTTCTGCAAATATTTGTTTCGGAGTTTGGGTGTTTTTTATTTATTATCTAGCTGTACCCTACGCTACGCTGTGGCACATTGTGGTTGCAAAAATAGATAAAAAAGCGTGTTCTAAATCGTGTCAAAATTAAATCTCAATCGGTGCATAACTTTTTCAGTTTTTGAAGCGTGCACAAACCAATTAAACCTTTTTATATATACAAGTTATGTATGTATATCTGTATTTACAAAATAAAAAAGTATATAAGTATTCTATCAGTCTATCTAGCTTTCATAGCATAAGCTCTGCTGAGTTTCAAATTAGATGGCGTTATGCGTTAGATGATCGAAATATAAAAAAAATGCATGGTTAAGGTTCTAAGCAGAAAAATTTTCTGAAACTGATTAGTATTTCTGATATGTGCTTTGGGCAAAGTAGCAAAGAGCAACACCATCTTTACGCATTCTTTACGCGACTCAGCGCAACATAAACATTGCACTTGGGAATTTTAGAGTAGTGGCCTGGAGTTTATGCACCGGAACCTGGAACTGAGGATTAGCAGTAGCATTCTCCGTTCAACAGCTTTTAGTTGCCTGATAAACTTATCATACAACTAAAAGCTACGGGGATGTTGAACGGGGTTAGTTGCCATAGCGCCTGAGGTTTAGCTTAAGGACTACTCTGACTAACTACCATATTGCAAGGTAGTATACGACCACGAGTATCCTCTAAACATCATTGTGTGATAGATATGTACTGATTGAAATGTAGGTACGTGTGAGTTATTTACTTATTAGATAATAATGTTTTTTTTATTTAATTTTTTTTAAACGTGGTTTTTAAATAGTCGGGTATTAGATTTTTTGATATTTTTTTACTAAAAATGAAACAGATATTTGGTCGGTATTTTAAAAACAAATAATGTCAACCATCATAAATTTTTATTATTATTGTATTAATGTTCAATTGTTCATTTTATTTAGCTAATGAAATTTTTATGTTTTGACAGTAAAGGTTTCTCACAGTTGCAGACTTTTCTTCTCTTCTTCAATCTTTTACTAAAATATTATCAAAATATATTTTAAGATTAACAAGTACTTTTAAAGATTACTAAACTAACCTAACTGTAGGCTTGGTTCCGTTGTACGTGTTGTAAAAGTCAAATTTAATTTTAGTCAAATAACGTCACTATTGTTATCAATGATTTGCATGCGTTACTATCGCGTATCGATTGGCGCCGTTGCAATATGATTCTCAATAGAAATGTGTTAATAGAAATAGAAAAATTCTCGTGTGACATAGTTGACTTTTTAAGTCAACTATGTCACACGAGAATATAAGTACAATTATGCAATAGGTACTCAGTATTATAATAATATTTTAAGAATAATGATTTATTCGGATTTTCATTTTATTTTCAGGCTATTTAGAACAATTCATGTCATCTACCTACATGTAAAATAGCATGATTGGATGGCTAGATGGGTGCTAACAATTTATGAAATATAACATTGATTAATATCTCAATAAGGAATAACAACAAATGATAGTGTAGTGACAATATTAAAACACACATTTATCGACATATGTTTCAGAAACATAATATTTATTAGATAGATAGTACTTAATACTTTATAACTACTAACTTTTAAAAATAGCGGTATTATACCTACATAATATTTCGTAAATCCGTAAATAAACAAGTTTATAAATGAGTATCAGTAACTGCAGTTATCGATCATTCCCGATATTATTCCACTACAAACTGGAACTTTGCCCAGTAATAAGGATAAGCTGATACTGCAATATCAGATTCGTAAAAGCTCTGCTCTAATGGACCCCGTTTGTTCAATCTCTCTGTAAGGCAACTATTAGGTATACTGGAAATTAAGACTTTAAATTAAATTAAATGTCTGTGAAAATTTTATTTTCACAGACATTTCTAAGAACAAACTATTGTACAGGTGTACAATAGTTTGTTCTTAGAAATGACTGGCAATGTTCTTCGTATGGCACCCATAGTGTGACAAATGTAAATAGCCCACGAACGGTACTTACTATGATAAAATTGATCCACACACACAATATGCGAAACTACGTGCATAATCGAAGTGAACACACTAACTTGTACATTTTATACCAATTATGATATTAGTTTATAACTGAACCAATATTTGACGCAAAGAAAGACTTGTTTTTCTAATAAAACGTGATTGATGAAAAATTGATTCTATGTCGAAACTAGTTCATTACCTAGCAGTTTTCTATAGAGTCGTCCAAGTAAAAATTTAGTTAAAAGTAGGTAAGTATGAGACCAACAGCCACCCCAGCTTTGTTTTTCTTTGGTTAATGATGTATCGAATCTGATTTGCGTTGTCATATAATAGTAACTAGTTTCGTCTTTTTTAAATATTTTAGAAATAAAAACATTAAAAGTCTATCAAACTGTCGACAACTTGTTGCTATGCCTGGAGAGTAGGTATGTAAAATTATAATAACGTTGACATCTACGATACATCTCTATGCTTCTCTGAAATTAGTAGCCTACCTGCTTAATTAATGTAATCTTAATGGACTCGTATTGGGAGTACAAACTAAATAAAATTCTCATCACAAGACATTAAAGTACCATATAAAACAACTATCCCGTAACATTGAAATCAGACGGTCGTGTGTGAGATGTGTGAGGTTATTATTGAATACAAAGGGCGATCGAAAACTAATATTGACAATAACATCTATCACCGCACAGCATCAAACACAAATAATAAAGAACAGGCAGTGTACAATGCTATTGAGGCAGTAATTACTCATAAAAAGCTATGGCAAGTAGGTAAATTTATATTCAACATACTCCGATTACAAAAGTCAGCCGCGGGCATACACCGCAACTCCGTTCATTATTTTCACTAAATGGACCCATTGCAAAATTAACTGCACGATTGCTTTTGAACAACGCGTCGGTAAAGAGCGTTTCCACATTACAACAAGCGATATAAATAAATGAAAACGAAAACGTTTCATACATACGATTTGAAAAAACGCCATCTGTTGGCCAATAGCCAAACTGCTAAGTCCAACAACAATCTATTGCTTCTAACCGGTGATTATTGAGGTAGTGAGGTATTTGAAATTGAAAACATGTTTTATATTACTTATATTTCTTTTTGACGACAATGAATACAATACAAAAAGATTTTACGGCACAGAAATATAACATTTCTGTGCCGTAAAAAACGTTTTTCTTAATGTGCAATAAAGTTGTTTCGTAGAAAATATTTTGGCTATTTCACAATAGATGGCGCTGCATTTTGTCTTGCAGAGATACAATTTAAGATAACTGATCACAAAAGACCCCTAGAACAACAATCCAAAAGAAATAAATTACTTGCCATCATAGTTTTAGGGTTGATAACTTGTGACAAATAAGTCATTAGAAAAAACACAACAAGGCAATGATTTTCTTTTCTTAAAATTATAAAAACAGAACAACCAAAAAGCTGGTAGGTACTCCTTGTCCTCTAGCTTCTTATATTACAGCTTATGACCGTAACCCAGGCAACAGCAACAGATCAAATCCGTCGGAGCTCTCCATACACTATTTCATTTTGCAGTGCTATCTTATATTCTCGCTACAAGCGCTCTCAGCGAATGTATGTACAAAGTAAAATGTAAAAACGAATATTAAGTAACACATTCTTAACTAAGAGCTCGCAATAAAATCATTTACATGAAAACAAGGTTTGCTTACAAACAAGTGCGATTCTAAAAAAAAGACAACAGACTGGGCGTGTTGTTTTAAACTGTTTCCATGAAAAATGACCGTTTGCAACGAAGTTAAATTACATCTACGTTATTTTACTGTGAGAAGTATTGCCAGCATTTTTTCAATTTTGGTAATACGTCCAAATGACAGATATTTAATTGGTTTAGAAACTATAAAAAAATCAATCAAATGGTTATGAGAAAATTATTCTAAACTCACCTGAATCTGCTCCGCAGCCTTTTTCGCTAATCCGGGATCGAGTATAGTGATGTCGATCTCGCTTCCACATCTTTTTGCTGCCTCACTAAATGCTTTTGCGTTTACATAATACGTAGATCCCCTTTCACTTGTCTCTACTGGAGAATTCGGAGATAAAATACCACTGTCTGTATCACTGACATTAGCCGATTTACGAGCTAAGCCTGAATTTTCACCGACCGGAGATTTCAAAGGAATTCGAGACTTTTCACTAGTTGGAGATTTTAGTGGGATCCGCGAATTCTTTGGTGTTTCTGGAGTGAAACCCGTTTTAGGATCGAAAATGACGTAGTTGTCTTTATCACATCTTACTTTATTGTTCACTGTCACTGTGTACTTTTTATTTGGACTTAAATTTAAAAACGGATCTTCACTATCTACAGGGCTTTCTGGTATAATTGATTGTATTTTTGGTTTAATCTTAGGTACTGACTTGCCGTCAATTGTCCGTCGAATCACTGTGTCATTAGTAAATTTTAAACGGACGTATTCATTAGAAATTGTTCTTCTTATTGGTGATGACAGCAAAGGTGATGGTTTCGTATCTTGTAGATTAGGTTTGTTTTGAAAGAAGTTTATCTTTGGCTTATCCATTGTTTTAGTTGGAGAAAACGGTAGCCTTAATTTAGAAGCAGTTTTCTTCTTTTGGCTTGAATTTAAATCTATACTGCTACCTTGAACTGTACTTTTATACACTGGTAAGACACTTGCTTTGTCGTGGATTTTTGCCGGCTCTTTGATTAACTTAGGACTATTTTTACTAATTTCGAAACCTTTATTTAATTTCTTTATAGGTGCTAAAGTTTTAAGTCGACCTTTGACCTTTTTATCGTTAATGACCTCATCAGGACCCACAGCTTGTTTTTGGTTAATAACTTTTGATTCTTGTTTGATAAAAGTTTTGCTACGATCACATAAGTGTGGTTCATTTTGTGTAGTTTCAAAAAGGGTTTCGCTGGGATCATTTAATACAGTATCTATTATTATATCTATATCACTCGACTCGGAATTACTTTTGGAAGATCTGTTTTCATTGATTATGTATGATATTCTTTCTTCTACTTCGATCAGTGAATCAGATTTATCAGTATCATCTATACTTCTTGAAGTTCCACTTCCAGAGTCAGATGGAGTTTGCACCTCAAATATGGAATCATGTACTGTAACTTCGTGTTTACCTGAATGCTCAGGACAAGATGATCTTCTTCTTTTCACAGTTCCTGTTTCATCAGATGGTGAATCCCAGTCTAGGACCTGAACGGCACACTGAGCCCCACTTTTTTTAGATCGTCTTGGGCTTGTCATTATAAGTAACTCGCATTGTTAAGCACTATCTACCCTGACCGATCACTTGTCATGTTAATTGCACATATGCTGTAATGTTGAAACATCGTTCGTTTTATAGTAATTATCTATAGTAGGTATTCATACAAACATTTCGATCAGTAGTGGTATCAAACACGAACGATTAGCTCGATAGTTATCTAATTACAAGCTTGACGCTGATGCACATGGGACCGACGGTATCTATGTTATTTTCTCTAATGGCACCATTTGTTTTCGATTTTGTGACACGAAGGGGTTCGTTTGGTAGTAACAGTATTGTTCCGTTTAAATAGCTGAAAACATATACTTTACTAAGTTCCTTTCGAAAACTCATATTCTCTTTTTAAACATCGAAAATATGAGTAGGTATGTAAATTTATACCTATTGTTGTTACAGCGAATACGAGAAGAGATATTTGTTTTATGATATAACATCTTGAACACCTAAATAAATAATATAAATTATTAATTCTATTAACACTTTTCACTTTACACCTTCAAACCTTTAAGAAAAGAGCGTAATCCTTCCGAAAAGGCCAGCAACGCGCTTGTGACTCCTGAGTTGCTAGGGTTCATGGGCGGCGGTAGTCACTTTCCATCAGGTGACCCGTCTGCTTGTTTGCCCCCTTTTCCATAAAAAGAAAATCTTTGCTTTATCTTTAGAGACATATCTTTAGAGATATCTTTAAAATAAACACGTAGAGCATAACATAATCCTCCGAGACCCAAGCTCTCAGTATCCGAGCTATACCTCTACACAGACAGAATTTCTAACAACATAGCTGCGTCTTCCAAAGCTTTCCCTGTAAATATCTTAAATTTAATCAGTAGCCAGTAGACGAAAAGTTTCAACAGTACGTTTTATCTGTTAAACATGAACGTTTAGGTATAGTTCGTAGACCAGTAACGGAAGGTAGTTTTTATGTTCCGCTAGGGTCCGCCCACCCGCCACCAAAGTACGTGTCTTGCGGGAAACTTGCGCCCTTGCATTATGCAGTCGAAAATTTTATTCAGCATTTTTGTTATCTATTTCATGTGCTATTTTGAAATATGCATTTTAAGTTTAAAAGGCATAATTACACTTACGATCACGTTAACGTTAGTGCAATGAGTACGAGTAGTGTAACGAGTAGTTTAATTAACACTATTTTAATGTGATTTGTTGTTATTTAATAGTTGTTAATGATTACGGCAGGCTGAATAGATTAATATTTATTTTACTAATGTAAAGACTTAAAAATAGGTGGTAATAAACATTTGTAGTTATAACTATTGCAGTAAGTTACTCTCGGCGTACAAATTAAATTATCTAATGCATGGCAAACTTGCGGAGAGGATTTCGTACGATTAATTGCAAAATTATACATCTGTAAGCACAATGTATAGATATTACCATGGTATATTAGAACCAAGCTTGATACGTTTTACTGTAAGTTTTCTTGGAAAGAACTATTCTCTTTATTTATTATCAAAAACTAGCGAAAATAACATCAAATAAGCAATGGTAGGTATGCAGTTTTTATATTTATTTACTATTACGTAATCTTGTTCTATCGGACAACGACTAATTTATTTATTCATCTAGTTTGCAGCATGATACAGATATATTTTTTTTTACTGGGAAATTAATTAGGAGGCTCATGGTGTGACACTAAATATTCAATATTAATCATAATAATAACATTAAATACCCAATTATTATTTTATTTATTTTCTTTAATGATTATCAGTGTGTCACTGACCTAATTAACTTTTCTGTTTCAAACTCATATCAATTAGTATAAACTGTAATACCGAGGATGTAATATTAGCAGCCCCAGTTGTAGTAACAAATTAGAAGTTTGTGTTAGATATAGAGGGGATGCATTGTTCCAATAAATTTGTTCGATAGTTCCCGAGTTGGACACGGGCCGATAAAGTTGCTACAACTAAGACAATCCCAACTGGTACAAAATATTGATGAAATTTCAGATACGTGGAATGAACTTACATTGCAAGGTTTTGTTGGATTTGTGCGATCTTTTACTAAAGTTCAATAGCAGAAATAAATCTGGTATTTCCTTAGATCATTTTTATTGTAATTTTAATACTGTAAGCAAGGCAACTAAGCAAGTCAACGCACATACTACACAGATGATTACAGGGAACAGTCCCTGAGACACAAGAAATCCTGTCACAGATCTCTCTTTGTCTGTCTAAAATTTTTATTTTACTATTTATACACTATTCAACAAACATCTATCATTCATTATCTCCCTCATTTACTGTTTGACTGCCTATATGTAGATATATATACATAACCCACTTACTTAAAATATTGGTTAATCTAGCTAATATCTTACACTAACATCTGTATCACGATACGACGTTTCAAAGTCTAGGACTTCCAAACAACACTTAAGAATAATTTTAGAAAGTATAAACTACATTCAACTAGTTGATGATGTCATAGTTGTGTACCTTAGTAAAACTCAAGTCAAGTCCTCGCCCTCCTTAATTTATTGGTTTAACTTATCGGATAATTAGGTTAGTGCGGGGACACTTGGGGGCAGTTTGTCAGAATCCCGCCGTCTACGTAAGTTCATTTTGTTTCACTTTATTGTTGACGCTACTTAGCCGTTGTTCCGTGATTCAGATGGTTCAAACATTTTCCTTCTGAAATAATAAAAGTTGTCAATACTTAATGATGCCACGAGTTTATCTCTTTTTGTAACTTTAGTCTACCAACTCCGCTTAACCTCCACTGAATTCTAGGTTTAGTACGTATAACGTGTTTACGAAATACCGAATTTATTATTTTATATTCAGTACAATGATGGAAAGTAGTCAAAGTTGTAACATTAATTGGGTTAGCTTCTTTTGTAATAGTTTGCAGCAGCAAGCTGAGAATAAGTCTACAAGTTGGACGGGTATTTGGTAGTATTTTCATAATTAATGCATAGAACTTTAAAAACTCATTGAAAATATATATGTTATGTAAATTAACATTACTCTTTAAAGGCTGACCGGTCTTCCATCATACTATAAAATTTCATTTCAGCCCTTACTTGATTTTGAAATCAGACATTGTATATACATAGTAATACATTGCCGGTGATTTGACTCATATGCTTTTGTTCATGGTAATGAAAAGGTATGACTATGAAGACAAGTATCTTTAGCATCTAGATCGATCTAGATAGATGAGAAAGAAAATGTTTCTAAAAAATCTAAACACAACTTACATATTAATAATACAAACTGTTTTTGCAAATAATCCTAATGAATGATTACGCATATTTCTTAATTTACTTGATAAGTTACATCATACGACACAAATACATATTTATTTCGAGTCTCTTTGGGAGTGAAACAAAACAACAATCATAAACTGTACAAGAAATGGTATAGGTTTCATAACCTCACTTAAGAGAGTTTTCCTCCCTTTTCGGTCATCTTTTTATTGCACCTAAAAGTCATCTAATAAGTGGCCAACCTTTCAAAGTAAACGAGGTAAAGGAAGCTCATGTGATATGAATAGGATATAAAGAGTAGATACTAAATTTAAATTTATTTTTCAAGTATAAAAACACATCTGTATTAATACTTACTTAAGTAATGAGCCCTGTGCTAAATGATTAAAAAACTTAAGTGGACCACATGTCACACCATCAGTGATACACTTAGAGTACGCTAAGTTTTATTGATGTATTTTATAACCTTTTAATACAAGTACCTATTTCTGCATCTGATGAGTTCGTATTATTGTGATAAAGAATATTTTAAAAGTTCGCGACTAGTACTAGAATGTGTGTAACAAAACTGAAGACAGAGAGCCCTACGAAGAGAGAGTTACCTACATTAGAAGAAAAAATATTCGTGAGTGGTCCGACTCGCATTTCATTAGGGCTGTCTAAGCTTTTGTTAATTTAAGGGCGACTGCGATCGGTGCGATGAATGCTTATCGTCGCCTAAACAAAATAACACCATAGCATACAAATATTTACATGCTTAAGTTCCGATCCGTACAACAAAAAAAAGCAATGCAGGCCATGACTGAGGGCTACGTTTGTCGAAAGACCGATAGCCGTTCAAGGGCAAAACAGATAGATTGACAACTTAACTATTTTATTATAGTATACAAGGTTAAATATACTACACGAAGGCAAGCCGCCATAGCTGTAAATAATAAAAAAATTGTCAACATTTTTTTACGTTTTTCAACCGACTTCAAAAAAGGAAAAGTTTCAATTCGGTGGTATCACTTTGTTTATGATTGTTACCTCAGAACTAAATCCTTGTCAAATAATTTGTGAAATTCTTTTTTTTGTTTGGCAGTGTATATTTCCCGTTTAAACCTTTTAAAATTCAAGAAAAAATACCACCCATAGGGTTGGAAAACCACGGAAGAATTATATAGATTATTACAATTCATCAAGATGCAGGTATCAGGCTTATTGAAGTTGGTGCCACTTAATTAAAAGTTAATTTGTTTCCTTTTCTAAGAAACAAAAATAGGTTTAGACTGACAAAAAATCTGGACAAAGCCAACTATGCTTCGCCGTGTTCTCTGCTTTGTCACGAGGTAGTTAAATCTTTATTTACTCGTACTTTGTTTGGTACGTGCCCTCTACTCTAACTAAACTTGCCGGTTGAAGTCAGTTGCGTCTGGTTTGACTTTTGGTTCGATTCGTAGAGTACTGATTGCATCCTTGAGGTACAGACAGAATTTGAAGTAGTGTAATTAGTAGTAAGTAAGTAGTAGTATAATTTGAAGTGTCAAACCGCGAGATTTGACGTTAGAAGTATGCTACTACTGTGTTAGTTAAGGGTTTTTTTATAAAAGCTTTACTTTTTCTTGTATTATTTTTTACTTTTTTTTACTTATAAGAAGTTAAGTTTCTCATATTATACTTTGTATTAAGATGTTGTTTGCTTGTATCAGCGTATTCCATTAGAACTGGAGGTATGAAGAAAGCTATGAAAACAAAAGACATTGC